GGGGAGCCCGTGGCGGCGCCCATAAACCGGTCCGGAGCCGGGGCAGAGCCGCCCCGCGGGGAGTTCAACCTCTCCGGGTTACCAGAGGCGGAGGAGAAGCCCCTCTTCGGCATCGGCATCGAGAACTTCATCACCTTGATCGTCTTCGGCTTGATCTTCACTCTGGGGGTGCTGGGCAACTCGCTGGTGATCACGGTGTTGGCGAGGAGCAAGCCAGGCAAGCGCCGCAGCACCACCAACATCTTCATCCTCAACCTGAGCATCGCTGACCTGGCCTACCTGCTCTTCTGCATCCCTTTCCAGTCCACAGTCTACGTGCTCCCCACCTGGGTGCTGGGTGCCTTCATCTGCAAGTTCATCCACTATTTCTTCACCGTCTCCATGCTGGTGAGCATCTTCACGCTCTCAGCCATGTCGGTGGACCGCTACGTGGCCATCGTGCACTCCCGACGGTCCTCGGCCTTGCGTGTTTCCCGCAACGCGCTGCTGGGTGTGGGGCTCATCTGGGTGCTCTCCTTTGCCATGGCCTCACCTGTGGCTCACCACCAGAGCCTCTTCCACCGTGACGCCAGCAACCAGACCTTTTGCTGGGAGCACTGGCCCAACCCACACCACAAGAAGGTCTACGTGGTTTGCACGTTTGTCTTCGGATATCTGCTCCCGCTGCTGCTCATCTCCTTCTGCTATGCCAAGGTGGGGCAAGGCGGGTAGTGGTGAAGGGTATGTAAAAGGGATGGGGGGGGACACAATGGTGGTGGGTGTCCTTGAGCAGTGGGGACATCTCTGGGCATGTGGCACCGTTGGGAGGCAATGGGGTAGGGGTTAGTTTGTGGTGCAAAGGGAGAGGGCAGGTTTTATAGACAAGGGATGACTGGGGGGGACACGTGTGTGTGGCACACAAAGGTCAGGACAGGAATTGCACGGGGCAGAGAGGGGGGGTTGTTCAGGCATTTACTGGGGTCTCATCTGCCAGATTTCATTGTTGCAAAGTGTTAAGAAGCCCCAGTGCTCTGCTGCTTTCTCTGTCAACACCCCTCTCCTGTTTTCTTGCAGTGCTGTATGAGGAGTTTAACTCAAATGAAGTACAACAAAGCAACAAGTTGTTCAGGCTTCAAACAAAGCATTGCAGTTCTTTAAAACGCAGTGCACTTAAAAAAATGGCAACAACCCATCAGTTTGGTCTGATCCAGTTAACATGTTAAGAACAAAAGGTGCATCACGCTGTCCGGTCCCTGTGAACCCTGTCTCGCTCCAGTTGATGTGAATGGGAGATTTATCTCTGACTTCAGCAGGGGCAGGTGGTGCTAGGGAGCAGTGCATGAGGACCCCGGTAGGAAAAAAGCAGTAAGGATGCCAGAATAAGGGTACTTAAGGCCTTTTCTGCTCAGGCAAACTGTCACAATTGCAGCTTTCAGCGTAGGGTCTGCTGCTTGCTGCTGGACGGGATCTGGAGCACCGGCTGCTACCTGCTGAGTTAAGCAGAGATCCTCCTGTTTCTGTGCCAGCAACCTTCAGCAGCAGGGTTTCTCCTTAGGCAGCAATTTACATTTGAGAGGATAGGTCTGCTCTTGCAAATAAGGACTGCTTAAGTGTGGAGAAGTCAGTTCTTTACTTTGCAAGTTAAACAGATGTGATTAATGTATTCAATTTGAACAACTAATTTTATGTTCTGTTCGGTTTTATATGTACTACATCAGCTTCATTCTGATGTGCAAATTAAGGCTCGAATGGCATCCAACTCTGCTAAAACCAAGTTATGCAGACAACACTCAGAAGACAACATTTCTAAACTACTGTTGGTAGTGAAACAAGTCCAACCTGGCAAATGGAGAAGAAATACATGTTTTCATACATAAACTGAATTCTGTTTTCCCTGGGTGAAGACACTGGTATTTCATCTATACTGGTGAATATGACTGAGCTGTGAGAGGGATGGAAGTCTCTGTAGCCATAGATCATCAGTTTTAAGAAAATATTACTATTTCTGGGAGAATGTTATGGATTGTGTGCAGAGGGAGCTTTTCAGCTACTAAGAACTGTTATATTTTTCAAAGCCAAAGCATCTTCAGTTTCAGCACAGAGTACCAGCCTTCAAAGTCTAGTTATGTGACTCCCCAGTTCAAGAAAGACAGGGAAATTATGTGACAGAAGATTGAAAATAAGTTTTGCAAAATTACGACAGTTCTGCATAGTATGGGGGGGGGGGGAAATGAAATAAGCTTAAACAAAATATAAGTATTGTAAATAAACCACACCATGTTGTTACAAACCACCACTACAGAAGTAGATTTCTCAATATTAGTATGAATATGTAGTTTAAAAAAACCACGCAAACCAAACCAACAAATCAACTCTATGTGAAATACATGCCTAGGATATGTTCATAAAATCAAAGCCACTTGAAGTTGCAACTAAAATCTTGTTCTTAAGTTATTGCCAGGCTCGGATCTCACTCTTGCTTGGTCATGTGTTTTCAGCCTGTATGTGTGATCCTTCTTGCCATGGTGTCAGGCTGGAAGATACAACCTGAGGGGATGAGTTTTAGGAGACACCCAGGAGATACCTGGTATTCCCATCTGTATCAATGAAGCTGAAAAAGGCTATTGGAGGTATTTGTACCCTGCAGTGTAAAGGCTCATTCCTGCCCTCATTAGGAGCCACTGGCAAATCTCCAACTACAATATTTTGGCACGTGGGGCAGGGTGAGGGAAGAATTAAGGATGATAATAGTTGAAAATCACGGCTGAAGTTCTAGATTTGTCAAAGCCATTGCTACTCTCACAGGTCTCAAGCAAAGTGGTCACTGCGAGCTTTTACTGATGTCACTAAAGTACTGTGAAGTACAGCAAGTAGTTTGGCTTCTGAATGCACCCAGGCTTGGAGGATTGCTGCTGTGTGATAGCCTCAGAAGAATTACAAAAATAAATGCATTAGTTTCTTATGGACTTCACTGGTTTTCATGAACTGCTAAACAGTTTCAGCTAAACAATGCAATCTTCTGATACAGTAGATTAAGACAAAGGAGACTCATTTCTCTATTTGAATATATTGCCTTTTCCAGACTCCTTTAAGGCAGTTATATTTCTTCTATAAGCAAATTGCAGTTGAACTTTCAGTTTTAAGAGTTTCATTTTTTAGGCACTCTAATAGGGAGTCGAGTTCTTTCTCTCACTCTCTCTTAAATTGTGTTAGGAGAGATCTGTATTTTCCCCAGTGGATAACAATACTGTTACGACCTATGGAAGTGCTACAATAGTGCTAAGCATTTGAAAACGGCATCCTCCCACAAAATTGCAGCTGGAAATTTCATGTGAGATGCTCTTGAGGCAGAGATTTATGAGATCATGCTCTGTCCTGTGTGTGTGGCTACACAGTAACTTTGGTTCAGTTTTAACCAAATTTGATAGAGGAGTGAAAATATCAGAAGGAAAGATATTTCCCTAGTTTTGTGAAAACACGAGTCAATGAAGATGGTGGAGAGTCTCCGTCATCCTCACTTCTTTAAGGAGAGGCAGTTTGCACGCAGCTGTTAAACATCAGACAAGCGAGAGGGGAAGCGCTCTTATGTGGCGTCTGCTCATGGAGTAGACGCATCTTTTTGGGAGCACACAGTCAAAAGATCACAAATCCGTAGGAAACCGACTTTTGTTGGCTCACAGAACTACTCTTGTAAGGACCTTACTGCTCCAGACAGAGAAGCAGTTATTATATAGTTATCAGTTGAGTTACACTGCTGCATACTTGTAGACAGCCTGTGTTCTTATTTTTTTTATTGTTTATCATATTACTTGCTTTCTTTTGTTAATAGTGACTTCTTGTATGTGTTTTGCAACAATGCTACAACGTTTGCTCACTAATGTGTTCTTAAAGGGCAAAGTGATAAATAATTCCCAGTGAGCTTCTAACAATTGACGTCTGCAATGTCATTGCAATAGTGCAATACGACAACTAATTTTGGGTGCTTCTGCTTTTGAGTACCCAGTTATGAGGCTTCAGTCCTTGAAAGTCAGGTGTCCTTCCATCAAACATTTAGGTTGGGCACCTAAAATCATTAGCAAACTTCTCCTTTTATAGGTGTGTAATTTTAAAAGCTTTTTTTTTAAAAAAACCCCACAACATATTTCTTGCCTTAATAATGTTTCCATTATTTATCATTCTGAACATTGTGAATTCATGGAAGTCATGTGTGATTTATAGACTTGGTTAAAAGTAAGCCTTAAAAAGTAGGTGCCTTAACATAAAATACAAGCTTATATGGTTCTAGGCTTAAGATATTATATCTTAAATTTTGCTGAGCAGTGAGGGAAAACTTTATTAAACTACACCGAAAAGAATAAATAAAGGGTATGACACATTAGCGACACACTGTTAAATGAAAGAGGGTGAAGGATCTGTTGTGACAATAGAAGTAGCAGCATTACTTTAAAAAATCGATTGTAGGCAATGGCACTTGAATTTAAATCAGGTTCCTACTATAAAATATGGTTCAGAATGTAATGCTCGCATTATGGCTCTGTTCAACAAGCAGTTCATTCTTAGATCACGACCTTGGGCAGGCTTTCCTGCTGCATGATTGTCAATGGCTGGTAATGAAGGTGTAGTCAGTGGAATGATTGCAGACAGCCAAAGAGCAAATATGAGCAGCGTAGGCTTCAAACTTTTACAACGTTCGGTAGACTTATGTGATTGGGCACAGATAGTTGAAGCTATTTTTTTTCTCTCTCCCTCATTGGAAAAATCCCTTTCTCAACTTGATTTGGTCATAGTCCCTCAGCCTAGAACTCAAACCGTCTTGAATATAGTCTCTAAAACAACCGGGGGAGAAAAAAAAAAAAAAAAAAAAAAAGAAATGGGTAGTCTGTAGACAAAATCCAGGGCCTCCCAAATGCCATCAGTGGTAGCTGTGGTAGTACAGTCTGGACCATACTGGAAGTTCTTATACTTATGATCCGACAAGTCTCTTTACACTCTCTATTGCAACAGCATAACTTTCTTCCCACAGCACCCCACCCTCATCTCCAGAAAACAGGAAAGCTATTCCTTCCCTGAGAGCCAAATAAGATCTCTGATCAACAGGTATATGAAAGCTGGAGTTAGAGCAGTTTCATTTAAAGAGTTATTTTTTCCACAGATCTGAATTTTTAAAAAATGTAACACCTTATGAGAACAGGTTGTAACCTAGTTTTTAGGAAGGTGGGTATTTCATTCCATGAGTTAAAAATGCACATGCAAATGTATTAGTGGATATTTTGAAAGGCTTTCTTTAGACAAATAACCTGAGACAAATTAAGAGGCACATGTAGAATTATTATGCATTCGGGTGAAGTGACAGTGGCTGTTAGAGGAGCGATTGATTATTCATTGGCCCAGAGACGAGATCATTTCAGCAGGGCAGTGAGGAGAGGTGTCTTGATTTGCCTTGTAGTGTTTGTGCATAAACATGGCTCTTAATATCCCTCCATGGCATTCTGTATAGGTCTCTGAGTGCTGTTCCACTGCTGTTGATAGGTAATTAAATTCTGCCTATTTCTCTTGCTGCTGGTTTGCATACCGTCTGGTACACTGCCACAGAGAGCCAGCATGTTTTCACTGCAGAGGCTTATTTTATGAAATATGTATATAATCTGAAAATGGGGAAATTGAGACGGATTCATTGGAAGGTTATCATCTAAATCTTCAATAAACTCCCCTGCCATCCCCCCCCCCGCCAAATATCCAAGCTAACAGTTTTGTCTACTGCATCTTTTTTTGGACTGGAGAGAGATCCAATGCAAAAATTTGTGCTAAAAGTTTTGTAGAATGATAGAATTGTTTGGGTTGAAAGGGACTTTTGAAGATTACCTAGTTTCAACTCCCCTGCTTCAGGCAGGGACACCTCCCACTAGACCACGTTGCTCAAAGCCCCATCCAGCCTGGCCTTGAACACTTCCAGGGGTGGCACATCCATAACTTCTCTGGGCAACCTGTTCCAGTGCCTCACCACCCTCATAGTGAAAAAATTCTTCCTAATATCTATTCTAAATCTACCATCTTCCAGTTTAAAACCATTACCCCTCATCCTATCACTATGCTCCCTGATAGAGTCCCTCCCCATCTTTCCTGTAGACCCCCTTTAGGTACTAGGAGGCTGCTATAAGGTCTCCCTGCAGCCTTCTCTTCTCCAGGCTGAACAACCCCAACTCTCTCAGCCTGTCCTCATAGTAGAGGTTCTCCAGCTCTCTGATCATTTTTGTGGCCCTCCTCTGGACCTGTTCCAACAGGTCCATGTCTTTCATGTGCTGAGGGCTTCAGGGCTGAATGCAGTACTCCTCTCACCAGAGTAGAGTAGAGGGGAAGAATCACCTCCCTCCACCTCCTGACCATGCTTTTTTTGATGCAGCCCTGGATGAGGTTGGTTTTCTGGGCTGCGAATGCACTTTGCTGTGTCATGTTGAGCTTCTCATCAACCAATATCTCCAAGTCCTTCTCCTCGGGGTTGCTCAACCATTCTCCACCCAGCCTGTATTTGTGCTTGGGATTGCCCCAACCCATGTGCAGGACCTTGCACTTGGCCTTGTTGAACTTCATGAGGTTCACACGGGCCCACCTCTTGAGTCTGTCTATGTCCCTCTGGATGGCATCCCTTCCCTCCAGCATGTTGACCGCACCACATAGCTTGGTGATGTTGGCAAACTTGCTGAGAGTGCACTCAATCCTGCTGTCCATGTTGCTGACGAAAATGTTAAACAGCACTGGTCCAAATACCAACCCTTGAGGAATGCCACTTGTCACTGGTCTCCACTTGGACATAAAGCCATTGACCGCAACTCTTTGAGTGTGACCATTCAGCCAATTCCTTATGCACCGAGTGGTCTACCCATCAAATCCATATCTCTCCAGTTTAGAGACAAGGATGTCGTGCAGGACAGTGTCAAATGCTTTGCACAAGTCCAGGTAGATGATGTCAGTTGCTCTTCCCTATCCACCAACACCGTAACCTCCTCATAGAAGGCCACCAGATTTGTCAGACGTGATTTGCCCTTAGTGAAGTCATGTTGCCTGTCACCAATCACCTCCTTATTCTCCATGTGCCTTATCATAGTTTCCAGGAGGATCTGCTCCATGACCTTGCCAGGCACAGAGGTGAGACTGACTGGCCTATAGTTCCCCAGGTCTTCCCTTTCTCCATTTTTAAAATGGGGTTTATGTTTCCCCTTTTCTTTTTGTTTCAGAACAAAAGAAAAAAATGTTTGTAATTTTAAAAGAAGATTTTGCAGTTCTGATTTCTGGGAAGAGTTTATCTGACTTTAGTTTTGGGCTGTGAGTGAAAGTCATAGTACAGTACAGTCTCTGGGTGTCAGGTGATGGGATTTGCAAAGGTCCAGTAGAAACAGGCCATCCTTGTAAGTTATGTGAAGGGGGTACAATAGGTGAAGCAGCAGTGATGGGAAGTGAACTTCACTGTATTTCCCCCATGCTCTTTTTTGGTTAAAACCCATGGACTAAGCAATTCAGCTGCTTTGTACACAGTGACGGCAGCTGAATAAAGAGTGTGTCAGCCAGAGGGTCATCTCCCTGGTCTGGAGATGACCTCAGGAGCTCTTCTGTCCTCTCCTTCTAGTCTGCTTCATCCTGGAGAAGAAAGAAGAAAGAAGAAGAAAGGCTGAAGCTGAAATGAGACCTCCTCAGAGAAAACCCTTCTATTTTTCTCCTGCCTTTCCTGAGCTCAGGTTAACATTGGTAGCAGCCTGGCTGGCAGTTCAGAATAGAGGGTACATGCAGGGCTGAGTCTTTCACACTCAAACGTGTTAGTGCACAGATAAACACAAGTGAACTGCGCTTCCAATATTAAGTGATTGCAAGTCATTTTTGGTTTTATTGTTCTTGTGGTTCACTGCTAGCTAAGAGTAGATACCTAAAAAGTGGAATCCACTGATGAGCTATGGTTATTCACGCATACCATCTTATTTCTTTTAATTCATTATGTATGTTTCTAAGACTGAAATGCCAAAGTGGGATCAAGTCTATAGGTCATCTTGTCTGGTGTCTGTCCTGGTAGTGATTAGCTGAGCGTCCCAAAGAAAACAGAGAAAAGATCCCCAGGTGATACACGAGAATTTGAATTTATACCCTTTCCCCCACCTCAAGAAGTCTCCTTATAAGCCCTAAGATTTAGTGATATATTCCTTAAAAAAATCCTTTTAACCTGTTAAATTGTTCTCAGTTTGTCTTAGAGCTATGTAAAGTGCAACCTAACATCACTGAGCTCTACACTCTGACACTCTCTCTAAAAAATTCCTCTTACCATATTTTAATTAAACCCTCGAGTTTAATTAAGCGTCTTCTTTTTTTAATTCTGTATGGTTTACAACTTGTTAAACACATTCCGCTGAAGAGCATATTCCCTGCCCCCCATGCCTACAAATCATGCCATAGGAATATATTAGATTCAGTTAATAATGACTGCAGATGAAGTGGGGCATGTGCCTCTCTGCATCCACTATCCAAAACCTTATGTGTAAATCATTGTGTTAAAATTTGGACCCTGCTCTCAGATGATGAGTCTTTTTGAGACATATTTTTAAAAATTACTTGTGAAAGGTACATGATAAGTGTCATTGAATTGTTGATAAAGGTCATGCCTCGTGTTATACATTTTAGTATAAATTATTTTTGAAATTCTAGGATTCTTTCGCATATCAAATAGTGCCAACATCCTGATTATATTAACCAAACATCCATCTGAAGAAAGCAAATTATGCAGGTGACTCAGAAAAGCTCTGACTCAAAACCTACACTTTTTATGTTACGTGCAGTAAAGGTCATTGTAAATTAACAAGCATTGACATTTTTATGGAAGAAGAATGATTGCTAATTCTAGGTGCCTGATAGGTTTCCATTTGTTGCCTTGTTAATTTGTAATATGTATGTGCTATGTGATACATCTGAAGTTTTATCTAAGAATTCAACTGGGGCGTGCTTCATATTTGTTGATTCACACAGATGCAGATACGGAGTTCCTTTGGATCTTATACTGTGCACTTTTGAAACGTGTGAATTGGATCAGCACTGTTTGTAAGCGACTCATGCAGTACTGGAGAGCATACTTTAAAATATTTTGGGTTTGAATTGTAGGAAATGGTGAAATACAAGATGCAAATTAATCTTTTCAGGTTCTTAATCATCTGCATAAAAAGTTGAGAAACATGTCAAAGAAGTCAGAAGCATCCAAGAAAAAGGTAGATTGCTTTCATTACCAATATCTACTTGTTTATATTTTAGTTTTATGTCTAAGCTAATTTGGTATTATGTTGCTTGTTGCCAAAGATGTGATGGAGAGCAGGAACTGAAAAGAAGTATTAATGATGTATCCAGTGTCTCTCTGAACTTAACAGGATTGGAATCTTCTCTGATCCAAGTTTTCCATCGCAGTGCATCGAGCCATTACCCGAGGTCCCCATATCTTGCATTTTGGAGCATCTAAAATCTAGACATGGAGAAACAACCTTTCACTAATATTAATTCTTTTTTTTTTTTTTCCTCACAGGCATTTTCCCCCCATTTGTATTTTTTTTTAATATTTTTTTTTGACTAGCTGATTTTTTAAATGTTTTATGAATTCCTAGGTTATATGATAAGACTTCCAAATGACGTTTATTGTACTCCTTGATAGGAGTCCAATAAAAGAATTTCAATGATTCTGCAATACTTCTGTGATTTTCCACAATTTTTTTTTTCTCTTATGTTCGAGACTTCAGTTATATACTGGCTACAAGTAGAATCATGAAAGGTCTTTAAAGCAGAATATTAGCTTTGCAATTTAGAACAATATCTGAAAGATGTGTTTATATATTGAATTTGTCAGTTAATATAATATTGTTCTGATTTTTGAGCAGATTTGACCACAGTACTCATTTGACTAACTTCTCAGTTTATGAATGTGGAGTCAGAAAAAACCCTTGGGCTATAGCTCTTCATTTGATCTGATCACTATTACCATATGGGCATGCAGACTGTCTGCAATGTAAATGAGATATACATGGGCTCAACAGGGAATAAGTAATGTATTATTTATGCATTCTCTGTTTTTTTTGGAAAAATATCCTAGTCAATAGATTTTAAACCCTAGAATTAAAAGTATTATAGCCCCGATTCCATAAAAACTTAACATATATACTTTTTGCACTTAATGTCATCAAGGCTAAAAGTGTAGTTTTCAAAGGTGTTCTGTACATTGCCATCTCTACTCTCATCTAAATTATTCTCAAACTGGAAATATCTGTGCATTTTCTCTAAGCACTAACTATTAAAAATTGCAAGTGAAAATCAGATTTGGCTAGCAACTAGCTTTCGTAGCTTCAGGGAAAAGCTTTACAGATATGCCCAAGAATGCTTGGACATATCAGGGTTCAGTAACCAAAGGGAGGCAAAAGAAGCACAAAATTTTTTGCCTTAGAAAATAAGTTTCTGATTCCTAACGAATGCTTTACAAAGCAACTCTGTTTTCACTAGTGTGCTGTCTCTCTCTGGTTACTATTTCTTTCTTCTTTTCCCTCTACTATTTTGTTAAGAATGCATTTCAGGCTTAATGATACATTTCTAGCTTTATTCAAACCTTTATGAAAATTTCAGTAGTAGAATCTTAAGATTAATTTGCTATATGCATGGAAAAAAAAGTTACTGAAAAATATGAACACTCCTAAATGTTATTCTTTGTGCTTTTGGGGCATAAACCATCAGTATTAACATCAGGTATTGTAGGTGGGTTTTATTTGCTAATGAGAAACCTCAAGGAAGATCCTATAGGGTAATAGCTGCCCTTCAGTGTTTTCCTTGGTTGCAAGGTATAGTGAAGACTCTGGAAAGATAAGCTTGGAGGTTAGGCTTAGGAGGAATAATGGGATAAAATAGATGTTGTGAGGATCCCTTATGCAAAATTACTTATTCTGCAGATATGAAACACCTTAAATATAATAGTTGCAAGAGCCACATGGTCAACCTCTGCTTTCAGGTGCATCTGTAGAGTCTATTGAAAGTCAGTGATTTTCCTGGTGTAATTTTTTTTTTTAGAATTTTGAACAAAGTGATGTAATATGCCTCTTTTGAAGTAACTGTGCATGTGATTTCCAGACAATCTGTTTTCACCTGGAATATTAACACATTGAAAGAATCAGAAAATGAAGTGCTCTTAATTTATGCTTCCATGTTCTGATGAGAGCTGAAAGAGAAGATATTTGTGTGGCTGTTTGTTAGTGGCAATTAACTTAAACTCCATAGGGCTAAGTAGAGGAAGGGCTTGTGAAAACAGATGAATCCTTGACACTAAACAAATTATATTTACTACAGATATAACATCCTTGGGGTTCTGTTGTGAGATTTTGCTAACCAACAGCAGTGTCTGTCATAAGTTATTTTGGCCTGTTGCCACAGAAATCCAACTTTCTTTCCTGTAAGTTTCTATAAGTTACGTCATGTTGTGATTAGGTCTGAATTATTACCGAGCATTACTCAATTCATGAAGTCTAGGCCAAGTTCAATAAACCAGCAAAAAGTCTCGATGTTCTCTGTGCTGCAGTATTTATAGCTCTCACTGGGTTAGTTTGCCTGTGAAGAAGAGCCTCAGTTGCCTGAAAAAATATGTTGTAAAATGTTAATATAGTAATTGTGATGGTCCATAACATAATATGCTTTGGAATTAATATTAGGCTTTTATTGGGAGACTGATTTAGTTGAAAGAGGTACTTGTTGGAGAAGTAGATATTAATTAGTTGAACAACTGTACAGCACTAACTGCTATTTCTGAAGTAAGTGAAAGCTAAAGAAAACATTGACAGTCAAACTCCACTGTGCCTTATCGGAATACCTGCAGCACCTGAAAGGCCTGAACTGACTGATACTGTAGCTGTCTGGATGGCTCTAATGAACTCGATGGCCCTTCCTCTCATAAATAATGGAAGTGGAGTCAGGAGGTGGCACTGAGGATATTTTGTGATCCATTTTTCTGAATTCAGGGTTTGATGGTGAGCTTTAATTTCCAGATTGGTTTTGACGATGTGCAATCACCAGAAATTTCAAGCTCCTTACTTTTTTCTTTTTTTTCCCGAGTTGTATCCCAGAATGTTGTATGACTCCCCCTGTGGCCATTTTTTGTTTAAAGGAGAACCTTTATAACCAAAATATTCGTCTGACTGCTCTAAGCTCTTCACTAGCTGCCCTCATGTATAATAGATCTCTCAAAATTTTTGGTCAGAAATCCATGTGTACCATACTAAAATATAGATCATTAGTTCTGGATGAGATTTCCCAAAGCTACATGTTATGTCCACCTCAGAAAAGGCTAGGCTTTTGCGTAGGGAATCAGGAACATCATTCTTTACCTTTGAGCAAAGTTACACATTTGCCTTTTGCTGGCATTTTAAAGGCTAAGGTTCTCCTTGCAGTAGTTCACTATGCAAAATAAAGCATGTATAGGTGATGGAGTAAAATCAGTAATAAATATTCCAAAGTGTATTCTCTCAGTATACCTTTTTATCCCCCAAATGACGGATTTGAAGCAGGTTTAAAGCTGATTCTTCAAGTGCTCATCAGACATCTGTGTTTTCCTTTCCCTGTCTCAGACAGCACAGACTGTGTTGGTGGTAGTAGTGGTTTTTGGCATCTCCTGGCTGCCGCATCACGTGATTCATCTCTGGGCTGAATTTGGAGTTTTCCCACTGACTCAAGCCTCCTTTCTCTTCAGAGTAACTGCACACTGCCTGGCTTACAGCAATTCTTCTGTGAACCCAATTATATACGCATTTCTCTCTGAAAATTTTAGGAAGGCCTACAAACAAGTCTTCAAGTGCCAGATAGGTAATGAGTCACCTCTGAATGACGCTAAGGAAAATAAAAGTCGGATAGATACACCACCATCTACCAACTGTACACACGTGTGAACTTTGAAAAGTCCTGATGTTGGCTCTTCATTTGTGTGAACTAAACACCTAGAAACAAAGCACAATGAGCTTTATCCTGGTTTATCTTGATAAAGCTAATTGTTATTTAATGTACTGAAGTTGCATTTGTAGCAAAAGTTTGGGAAACTGGTATGAAAGAAAACCGGGCTGATCCTTTGCATCTTAGATAGCTTTGTCAAATGAAGCTCTTGGACCTTTAAAAGATGCTTGAGAAAAATATGTTGGAGATGATATGTCTGTATTATTACTCACTAAGCGTACAGTGTGTAAACATTCAAATATAACATACAAGAAGGAAATGTTGATATGAACAAGTTAGTTTCTTACTCTATCGGAGTGAAGAGATGGCTGAATTTTCTGTCTTACAGATAATAAATGTCATACTATGATTTCAGGGAGGAAAACTTTTTTTCTCTCTTCAGATTGTTTTGACAATGCTTTTTCTCTTTTTAAAGTAAAGACGGGCTCTGATTCGAAGTTGAAACAACCCATGTACTACTTGAAGCAATTGCTTTAGAGAGGAAATGCTAATTTTATCTGTTTAGCTGTCTTTTTAATGTAACATACTCAGTAATGATGGACTTTTTTCCACTTCATATGCCTGCCTTACTGTATACACAGAACTTTTGTGTACGCTATATAAGGTTTTGTTTATGGCCTGTATGTAGTTGTACCAAAATGAGGATTTGTGTCTATCTGAGGGAAGCTTTTCTTCATGTGTTGCATGTGCATGTTTATATATGTTTTGTTAACTTTATAGACTTGAGATGGAGATACAGTTTTAAACGTGCAATATATATATATGTTTTAAAATATTATGTTCCATAAAGCAACTCCGGGCAATGCTTGTGTTTAAAAATAGCATTCCCTTAAAAGTTGTAGGAGGGGCTTGATATCATGTGTCTCTGAATTGGAAAAAAGGATGCATTTATATTATAGAGTATATGGGGTAAATGGTCCAATTCTGAAAATTCCTAAATAACATGAGTAGTTTCAGCAATTTTATAAAAGTACTTAATATGTCTTTAAGTGGTAAACCACTAAAGAAATAGCAGAAGGGCACTCAGTCCTTTGAGAACATTATTATTAGCTGGAGTAAGATATGCTTTTACCTTATTTATTAATGACCCATAAACTCACAGAGTAAATTAACTTGAAGGAACCTCCAGACATCCTCTCAAGGCAGGACTGCCCTCAAAGTAGGATCACTTCCTTGTTTAGGCAAGTTTTGAAGATT